ATTTGGGATGAGTTGGAGTCCTTTATAAGGCTTGGGTTTTTTTTTTCCTGGGGGTTCAGAGTTGGTTTTTCATCATGAACCTGAATGTACTGGGGAGAATTTAGACACTGTTTTCTGCTCCTCCTTTCACTAGAGCTGCCTCTTTTCTACAGTTAGCTATGGGAGTTTGTGAAGCTCTGAGGATTCACTCCCTTGCTTTTGAGTCTACCCTGCCTTGTTGTCAGTTAGATCTCGGGGGGTGGGGGGTTACTTAGTTTTTGCTCTTTTCCCTGATATTGCCATGTATGCTGGGATGTTTGCAATATAATTACGAGAGTATTGCTATGCCTTGCTCCCCTTGTTTATCAGAACAACATGCCCTGGCTTATCTCTCAACAGTTGGATTTGTTGTTGGATCTATGGGGTTCCATGCTAGAGCCTCTCACTTATCAGATCTCCATTTTCACAGATTCATTTCACTCTTACTACTGTATTGTGATACTCCTCTTCGTGATTTCCGGGAGTCGCTCCTCTTTTGGCCGTACTAGTTTGCTGGAGTTCCTGAAACTTTAGAAGCCAGATTTTATATGGCACTTTTGCAGTTTTCTTTATCATCATTGGCTGCTCGCCTCTCTTCTATTCCAATAGGTAATTCTGGAAGATCGATCATTTGCATCTCACAGCCCGCACCTTTAACACCTCGTCCTATTGCTTTACAGAATCGGTTCCGTCTGTAGTCTCGGGGATCTTTGGAAGGTCGGCATGGTGCCAGTGTCTATTCATTCAGAAGGTCGATCACGTTCATCCAGGATTCTATTCTCATCTTTTTCTGGTGACCAAGAACACTAGAGATTGGCTTCTTATCATCAGTCTGTCTTGACTCAATTTCTTCCTACAGCCTCCTCATTTCACCATGGAATCTTTTCTTCAATGGCACTTCACACCTGATATTTGGATGATCAAGTTTGATGTTACAGATGCCTCCCTTCACATCCCCATTGCAGAGTCTTTTTGTCAATTTCTACATTTTTTGCACAAGGACTAGATGTAGCAGTTCCAAGCTCTTCCATTTGGACTTTCTTCAGCACCACATGTTTTCTGCCGAGTAATACAGGCCTTTAAGTGGAGCTAGGGAGTCCTTACCACGCCCTGTTCCCAGCCACTGGGGTGGTGGACAGAGGATTTTTCTTCGGAGTGTTGAGTTTTTTTCCACTCTCAAAGAAGAGGGCAAAGTTGTGAACCCACCTACCTGGGTCCCTGGAAGTTTTCCCAGATGTTGGTGGGAGCAGGACCAACCTATGCGGGAGCCTATTCATAACATCAGTCCAGATTTGATGCTTAAATATCCGGTGGTGGTGTGCTTGGACCCTCTTATGAACATTGTCAGGTCTTAGGTTGTTCATGCAGGGGGTCCACTATCTGCTCGTAAATCTGAACGCAATGCTGTCCCATCTTAGGCCCTTGGTGGAACAGTGTTCCATGTCCTCTCCATAATTCCATGGGTAAGTGGAATTCTCCTTGTCCACTTGGTTGGGGAGTGAAAATGACTGTTTGTAAATCCAGACCAGATGAGTTCTGGACCTTGGGTGGAATATGGCATATATGTTCCCATCAATCCAAGTCTGAGATGTTGTTTTTTGGACTTCTTCAGATTGATCAGAAGGATTGTCAACTTGATGTTGCTTTCTTTCTTTCATAAATCTGGTTGTTTGAAACACATCATTCCGTGGCTGCTAGTGGGGATCCTATCACAAAGATATGTATATATTTGTGGTCAAACTGCCCTTGCCACCAATGGGGGATATGGGTACCATTACCCCTTAATTCCAGCCCTGAGTCCTGGAACCTCAGCTGCACGGTTGGGGCTGGCCCATCATACCTACTTGTGTAATATCCCACCCTTTTCACTTTTCTGTAGTTCTGGATGTAGTGAGGTTTTCCCTGCTTGGGCACCATCTCTAATGGTACACCTTTGCTCTATGAAATATGAAATACAGAAATACACTTTCTGTATTAAATATGCTCTCACTGTCCCCTCTGCCTTCTCAATGTGGGATTCTAGCTATAAGTGTCAGCAGAGGTATGTATGTTTTGGAAGTTATCATTTTCCTAATCTGAAAATGTATTTCCAAACATACTTACCTCCACTCTCCCTCCCCACTAAGAGCCGGCGTTAGTGACCGGTATAGGGTAAGTCTCAAAAATGTGATTATATTGTCTACATACAGTGCTTATATACAGTACCTACATAGAGGGCGTGTGAGGGCTGGTGTAAAGTTTTTCCAATTAGATATTGCCAAGGGCAGTTGAATGGGGTATAAAGACTGGAGCAAGTGAACAAAATGTTTAGATGGCATAGATGAAGATCGAGAAATAGCTATAAGTGTCAGTGGAGGTAAGTATGTTTGAAAATACATCTTCAGATTAGGAAAATGATAACTTCAGTCATTAGTTTTTGTTCTATTGATCTTCAATTTTATTACTTTAATTACAGCCTCCAGCAGCTGACCAAGAGACCTGTGTCAGCAGCAGGATATAGACGCCCCGTCTCAGAATATGCCAAATTGGCTGCTGCTATGGGAGGCAATCCTCGTTACAAGGTTTGCATCTGTTATTTTGTTCTATGAATATATTTTGTTGTAAATGTTGTTTAAAAGAACTAAGAAAAATCTGAAAATATACCTAGGAATGATAAATTTAAAATAATCTGATTTATAGTTTTATTTTTGCAATAACTGAATTTTCAGCAGCGCAAGAAACTCTTTATTGCTCTAATAAAAAGTATTGTTTTTTCTACTCTGTTTGATTGCATTTTTTGTAATACTAGTTCCAATTTATATACTTGTATTTTAGGGAGAGAATATTCTGCAGGTAGAACTTGATATGCCAAGCCGCACTACTCGAGAGTATGATGCTCCATCTGTGGGACCTCATGTTCGAGCTGCTGTTGATGCTGCACTGAGGGGTGAGGAAGACGTGGATATTGATGCAAGGTCACTTATTTTCATAAAAATGACAAATTTATTACAGATAGCTTCATTAATGTTACTTGTAGTTAAAAGTAATATTCTCAACAGAAAATGGAGTTTTGTCATTTACTCAAGTGCATGCTTTGTTTCATAACATTTTGAATTTTTTTGTGCAGATGTCAGCTAGTTATAAATTTTTGTTGTTGACAGAAATTACTCAGTGATGCTTTTGATAGAGCTTTTGATGGAATTTTCCATAATTTATCCAACTGTTAATATACTGTGTAGGATAAAAATGTTAGAATTTAAAAATAACATTTAAAAAAGTAAAACGTAAAAGAACAAATGAAAAATGAGTCATTTAGTCATTGGGTAGGTTGTACTATATCATACTTATGAACTGTTAGAACAAGAATTAGAACCTTGTAACTTTTAAGAACTTAATATATAATTTAGCTTTAAAATTATCTTATAAAAATAAATAATAATAAGTGGAAATAGAGCATTAATATGCTTCTTATTTTCAAACTTTTTCTTGAGAATATGACATAGAATTTAGTAATTAATAAACTAGTAAATAATATTTTGAGTAAGAAGTGTATAATAGAAATACTTAATGTGAAAAGTAATTGCGACAGCAAAAGATAAAAGTGTATACAATTTGTATTTGTATTAGAATCATGTTTGAAATGTTTTGAAAAAGGAGGAAATGTTTCAATGTTTCTTAGTATCCTTTACTAAAACATGAAAATGAATGTATGCCTTGTCTTGGATATTGTTAAGATTTTAGGTAAGAATGTATTTTACAAGGGGAAGTCCACTAAATGTATATAAAATTACATAAAAAGTTCTGTACAGATATAATTGTCCAAGATATAATAGGTCATTTGTCATGAACTAAATAAACTATTTTATTGTTGCTTTCTTCAGATGTAATCTGACTTCACAGAGTTTAGTTTGTGAACTATTTCAATGTGAACATTCTGGAATATTATTCAGCCTTTATCTTATAGTTATTTTGTTTTATTTGTTGCAGTGTCAGTATCTTTCAGACAGATGGGCATGTCAGAGCCAGTAGAAAAGATAGAACAATGAAGTATAGGTAAGAGAATGACATTTGTTATAATTTAGAATGGAAACAAAATGTGAGAAGGAATACCATCTTGCACAATGAAAATTTATAATTTTAATATGTTTAACCATTTGTGGACCAGAGGGGTGTTACTGATATCCCCTGGTGTTTATTTTTTCCTTCTCACAGTGGAAATATTCAACCAATTTGCATGAAACATATTTGAGGAAGGAAGCATATTATACTGATACATTAACCCTATCACCTTGGGTACCCTTTACTGCGCATGACACAAGGTTTTAGTGTTTTACATTCAAAATTTTATTAAACTACTTTTTGTTTATGTTATACC